TGGAGATTGCATGGAGTTGCCAATTCCATTTTTGTCAGCTCCACTCCGATCACTGGGATGGCTGCGAGCGCTAGCTGCGCCTGGCGCATGTCCGTTTACGAAGCGTATCTAACATCTAGCAATGCCTGACTAAAATATAGACAGCTCCTGGTTTTTGTCATGTCCAGTGTTTGTGACACTATCGCGTTGCAAAGCTATGTGACAGGATTCATGTACAAGGCGCTTGACGGCATGTCGCAGAAGGGGTGTAAGATGGGTTTAAGCACATGTCCATGTTGATGATCCGGCAGGGATGATGCGAAGCCCATTCCTTTTCCTTTCGCATGTTCCTTACGATTCCTCCGACAGAAGGCTAGAGCTTTCAAGTTTCTGGCCCGGCAATCTCTACTTGGTGACACGTGGTTGCAGCTGCAGCTGCCAGCACATACGATGTTCTTGTGGCATGCGCAGTGTCCGGGCATGGAGGTTCGTGTGTTTGGCTTTTCGCGGCCTCTTCTTTGAGTCTGCACGCGTTCAACTGAGATAAGCTTCTCCTTTTGTAGTTTCTCTGTGTTTCGATGCCTCGGTATCGTACAAAGCTGTCGATCCCCGCATGTCGTGAGGTCCAAGGCCTATGTTCCTTTGAAGAGAGTTATTCAGTGACTGCAAGATTCTGCTCGTTCTTCAGTTACAGTGATGTGTTCCATCGGGCTGCAGCTAGGTGCGTGTGACGCTGCTGGTTGGTGGCCCGTGCAACGTTGGCCCCGGCATGGTCGTTGGCGAGGCCCAGAGGGTTACGATCCCGAGCCCTGAGCATGGTTGCATGCCTCCTGTGAAGGAGCTCGCAGAGACCATCAGATCCCACTTAGACCTCCAGAAGGAGACGCCGAATGCTGGAGTCCCGGATGCTCCAACAAGTGAGCCGAAGCCTGTAGACAGTCTCCGGCGTCCTGTGACACTGGGCTTCCATCCTGAGCTTTCGGCTTCCAGGGGGATTTCTGATCCACCAGCAAGGCCAAGCACACGAAGAAGGCGTTGAAATTCTACGCTTCGCTCGCCTCAAGGGCCAGAACCTCGAGCCCAAGGAAAAATATCCATAAAAGAGATGCGAGAGCACCGCGTCGGGCCTCCCCAAGTGTTCCACAAAGGCTGTGGCTTGTGGCTTCGCCGTCGACATTTTTGCATGCTCCCTCGACCAGGCGCCGCAGTTCCTTGGGTTCCCTAAACCCTAAACCCTATTGATAACTCCCAGCCCCTAGACACCCGACACGCTTCAGGTCGGCCTTTACGAGATGAAAGTCATCTCTGACAAGACTGGGGGCTACATGGTCCGGACCTCTCTTGGGATGCATGGGCTCAGCAGCCCCATGCCACCTTCTGCGGCAGGTCATGAGCGACTCCTTCAGCATGCACGTCTTCAAGGATCTGCAAAATACCCTCTAATTTTAATGGGTGCTGCTGTTCCGAGCTCTGGTTCATAGTACATAAAAAAGTATACAATACATAACAGATCATATGTAGTACATAGTACATCAACACGACGTATACAATATCATTAGCTTAATAGTATGTAGTACATCGTATATATCCCATAGAACCCATAGAGCAGCATGCTGTTCCCTTCAGGACTCCTTTAGGAAGATCTTCGAGCCCGATGAGGCGCCCCTCTCAGCCGGCCGCGAGCCCTCGGAGCGTTTTTTTGCTTTTTGGTTTAGGGTTTAGGGGACTACTTTAGGGATCTGCTGAGACGGGCTACCTCAAGCTTGGCTTCAACGCGAAGATCGAGGCGGGAGCCTGAGTTGGTTTGGGGTTCAGAAGTGAACGTGCTGTTTGCTGCAAGGGTCAAGCGACAAAGCCTCCTCGGCTCAAGCCGTGGCGTCCAGTTCTTCTGATTGATACAAATGTCAGGGCCTTTGCAGGTCCAGCCTCTTTGCGTAGTGTGATGGCCGCCACTCAGAGCACGGCCAGAGTGTGGATGCTGAATCTCCTCCTCATCTGCCTCCCGAGTTTTTCTGCTGCCGCAGTGTACGCACATGTCGGTGCGGATGGAAGCATAGCAGAAGCCCCGAGGATGATGAGACTTGAAGAAACGTCGCTTCAGCAAGGTGAGGCTTCGAAGGAATATTTGGTCTCGATAGGCTCCCATGGATCAAGGGCAGACATGGAGACGAAGCTAGCAGATGATGCCCGCGCGGGCGTTGGCAGCTTTGTCGAGTGCTCGGTCGAGGGCGGTACGTGCAAATGTGACGGTGTCGTGATGTATCTTGGCAAGTTTAATCATACTATATTGCTATAGTTATACTGTGACATAGTGTAACATACTATACGAGACTACAGGCGCATCTGTGATACACTGTACTATATACGACATGACACGCTATGTCACTATAGATACTATAGACTACAAACTACAAGCGATGTGCGGTATACGACATAAGACATGCTATGCCATGCTGCGCTGCGCTCTGCCATGCTACGTTTTGCTTTGATGTGATGTACTCTACTACACTACACTATACTATACCATACTATACCTTACTTTTCTAGAAACAAGAACAAACCTGTACTGTAAAGAACTGCGATGTACGATGCTGGGACCCAGGTATGGTCGGCTTACATCGAACTGGGAAGAACTTCGAGCTGACGGCTCCGTACCGTGCACGGCAGCAATGTTTGACTCGATACCTGCACCCGAAGGTGAGCTGAATGTCTGCAGGTGCTACTCCTTGCATTGGTGTGGGGAGAACAATGTTGACAAGCTCGTATCCGACACGGCAAGCAGGAGAAGAAACAGCTTTGGCGTGCCCGGAAGGAATCTCCACCAGCGGCGGAGATGGTGCGGCTGGGGACCGCGCGACTGTGCCTGGAGTTCTTGGAGCAAGTGGAGTGAGTGCTCGGGGGGGAAGCAATGTGCAGAAGAGGGCGTGAGCCAGCGAACTCGGCAGCAGGAGACCGAGCCTGAAAATGGAGGCCGCTGCCAGCCAGAGAGCACCAGTGAAGAGACAAAGTGTCACTGGGTCGGATGCCAGAAAGACCAGAGCTCTTTGGCCAAGTTGAAGATGAGCAAAGCCTTTGCTGCAGAGGAGGCGGAGGGCGTGCTGGCGAAATCTGCGGAGGCAGTGAAGAAAGCTGCAGAGGCAGCAGGTGTCTCGTCAGATTTGGTCAGCAAGGCCCGGTCAAAGTTCCTGACGATGGCTCGAGCGGAAGCCGGAAGTCTGACTCCCTCGCGACTCGGAAGGATTGCAGCAGAAGCGTTCCTCCCAGTAGTGAGGACCGTTATTGCCAGCTCGGATGTGAGGGCGAATGTGGTGTCACTGGCCGGTGAGGTGATTTTGCTTGGCGTCCAAGACGAGAGTCCGCTGATGGCACATGTTGTGGATGTCATGGCCTCTGAGATCGCTGATGCACTGGGGCTCCCATCAATTAAAACGTCAACCTCGGCACCTGATTCTGGCGTCCAAGTCTTTGGTACGGCAGGCTCCACGACCACCGTCCCAACCATCGCAATCTTCCCAAAAGATGGCTCCGACAGCCTGCAAGGCTGATAGCTGCGGGCCAAGATAGCAGGTAAAGTCCTGCATGAAGGAGCCCAGAGCTTCAAGGAAAAAGGGCGATGCAGCAGCAACCCCCTGCGCCCCCAGCCTAGGATTTCTTCGCCCTCGCCCGCAGAAAGCCTCCTGAACCGAACTTTGGCCTTGCCAGGTTTTCACCTCCAGGGAATTCAAGTGCTGTGGTGCAGTTGGCGGTTTATCGTCATGCACTTGGGCCTGAAAAGCACCAGCTTCGTGGCGTGAAGCTGCGGCCCTTCGCTGCCGAGGTCTCTCGGCAAGAAGGGGCCCTGCGTTGCGGAGACGGAGATCGGTGAAGGTAACACTTGCCAATGGGCCGCTCCGACTCGGTTTCCTCTGAGCTTCTTGAGCACAGTGCCCAGCTTCTGCAGAGTCTATGGTTATTTTGCCAGGTTGCCGGCTCCCTTGATCGCAACACGACGATTGGCTTCTACTTCGACATTGCCCAGGCATGAGCCTAGACGGTTCGTTAATCATGCGTCAGTTGGGTGATGTGTTGAGGCCGCCACTGCAGCTGCGGGTAAGCAAGCCTTTTTGCAGCTCCAGCCTTACACGACGGACACTCGAAGTATTGATCTGGCACCTTGCTTGCGTCCTCTCTCGGAGAGCTGAGGTTTCAGACTTGCTATTTGCATCCTTCGGGAAGGAAGCGCCTCAGGGTAACTACTGTGCCCGAGACTTGGGGAATTTAAGCAGTCAATATGCTACATGTATAAAAGCTTACAGTATACTATACAGTCTACGATTATATATATTTCATATATTTATAGTTTGTTTTTGTTAACGCTTCGCGTCGTCGGCCCCGGCCGCAAGCAAAGAAGGCAGCCGGTTTTCTAGAGACTAACTAATTTTATATCGTTTCTGTTGTATTACATATATAACATAATATACTATGACCTTTCCGGCAAACAAAACTTTTTGGTACATGAACCCGGTGGCAAGCAAGTGGAAAGCTGGTCTTCAAATCATCGCACGCGCGCTTTTCGCAGGTTCAGAGGTTCAGAGACCAATGTAGGAGAGGGGCAGAAGGCGACCGGGGAGGGTGCGGCGCAGTCTTGCAGGCTTGGAAGCAGTTATCGGGGGGCGGGGAGTGGGGGGGAGGTCACTGGAGAGGAAGAGGAGGGGAAAGAGGTTTCCAGAGGAAAGCCGGCTCCTCCGACCGCTTCGGCCGGAGCTGAGGCGAATATGCTAAGATATGCTGCATTATCGTATAGTATTACAGTATACTGTATCGTACTCAAGCATACGATAGTTGCAATATACTATACAAGAACTCTAAGAGTCTCTTTTGAAGTCCATTCTGAAGCTACGCAGCAAGGTCACATCGCTTCACGGATGCGCAGATGAGTGACATCCAGCAAGGCGGGAGGGTTGGAAAGGGCTTAAGGCTTTTTGAGGCTTAGTGGCTTAGTGTTTAGGGTTTAGGGCCGTCTAGGACCGTTTAGGGTTTAGGGTCGTTTTAGGGTTTAGGTATGTCTAGGGTTTAGGGTTGGAGTCCGTCTGGAAGCTTCCCGGGCAGGCTTTGACCAGGAGGCCGCCGCAGTGCTGATGGCCCGCTATGCGGTCTTCAAGTGCGAGAACGAGGCTAGAGTTTCGGGTTTCGGGTTTAGGGAAAGTGCGCTGAGAACGAGGTTGGCCAGCAAAGGAAGTTACATGGAATTAGGATCGAAGAAGGGTTTTGCAAGAAGGCAACTAGCAGGGGAGCAGCATGCTTTCCCGTGTCTCAATTGATTGGTGACTGTTTCTAAAGAGCATGGGCATGACGAGAAGCCCTGCACAAAGAATAACTTAACAGGGGATTAGGGTTTAGGGTTTGGGATTATTCTTACTGGATGCATATGGACATTCCAAAAAAAAGGGGATCGCCAAACAGAGCCTCGAAGTAGCCAGATCCCTACGATAAGGACCGCCAAACAAGGTGCGTACCCTTCCGAGGAGTAAGATATGTGTCGTCAGCTTTGGCAATTTTCTCGGAGAACTGCCAAGATGCTCGGAAAATCCAGACTAGAGGGTTTAGGGTTTAAATGGGTTTAGGGTTTAGCAGGTGGTGGGGTTCAGGGTTCTATATAATATAAGATGAAAAGTATATACTATATCTCATGTGTCATATATCATACAGACTGCCAGGATCCCCTGGATGTGCTGCGATGGGTGGACAGAATGCTGATCCGAATCTTGGCGGCACTGAGATTTGTTTTCTCTGAGGTCCTGCACGTAAGTTCTGAGTGCTCAGGGCTTGTAGTAAGTATAGTGTCCATATAGTTGCCCCAATAGTGCCCTCAACCCTGATGAAAATGGAGGACTTGTGAGGCTCGGATCGTAGATGCGGAGTCTTCTTGCTCCATGCTAGCTGCCAACCGCGTGTCCACCCGTCTGTGCGAACGTGGGTCTTGTAGGCCTCCCGTGCCACGCCTGACTTCTTTTGCCATGGCCAGCGAGTGCGACAGCCAGGTCTCGTCTCAAAGTTTGCTGACTATCGCAAGGCCTCGGGAAGCTTGTCATTCACACCGTTTTACGCACGCACCTTGACATCTCTCAGCTGAGCATGCTGTTGGCAGCGCTTCTGAGCCGCCAGCTTCCGCAACATTGCTGGCTCCCAGAGTTCCGTCCTAGCCTAGCAAAAGCGGAACCGCTTTCCTTCTTTCCAGAGCGACATCTTCCGCCGGAGTCCTACGAAAGGGGGCTACGTTCATGTCATCGTGGGACGCCCCGGGCGCCAAGGCTCGCTGATGACGAATCCTGCAGGAGTCGGGGCCGATTGAAGCTGCCTGATCGCTTAAAGTCTGCGCCTGTCCCAACTCTCAGCATGTCCGGCGCTTTTTTTTGGCCTGCCCTCCTCGACGTTCTACCCTCCGACGGTGGTAATGGCAACGGATTTTTTCGTGAAGTCTGTGCACCGGCCCCAAGACCTTCAAAACATCTCTCCGTACGGGCTGGGGCGCGTGCGAGTGGCCCGGCTTCCTTCCTATCATCACCATGATTATTGTGATTAGTAGTATTTGTATTTGTATTATTATTATTACTATTATTATTACTATTATTATTACTATTATTATTACTATTATTATTATTGTTATTGTTATTATTGTGGTGATTATTATTGTGATTATAAGTATTACCATTATTGCAATTGTTTAGTGTTATGACATGGCTCTATCAGTATCAGCCTAGCTGACTAGCCTCTTCCGGCGCGGCACGAGATTTGTAAAGAAGCTTTGAGAAGGACCTTCTGCTTCTGCGAACCAGAAGGCTGGCAGCTGGCGCAGATAATATATTTCCACACGTTTTAGAAGATTGCACATCTGCATCTGTATATGTATGTATACACACACACACACATATATATATATATATACACGTATGCGCATCTGTATATGTATGTATGTACACACATACATATAATGTTACATATACATATATCTAGTCACAGCATTCTAACATATAGATGTGTTTTGATCTGCTTCTGAGCCCTGTTGTTTCAGGTGCAAGCCCGCCAGCCACAAAGGCGTGTGGGGAACCGTCATGCGGCTGCCTCAGGGTTTCTTATGGGATTTGGGGTTAGGGTTTTACGATTAACCACATTCTCATGGGCTTGGTCCCTGATCTCGTGCAGCTGAGGATCGTACACGTGCTCCATCCAAAGAGGACGCTGTGACATGCTGTGACGTGCATAACGATCCGCGAAACATAGGCTTAAAGCCTACTGCTGCTTGACACGGGAGCAGGGGTAGAGCGGGTAGAGACATAGATCCAGGACAGCATGGAGCAAGTTGCAGCTCCCGCACGGGCCTTAAGACCTCGCCTTGTCTCGGCCTTCTTCCCATCTGCTTTGGGCGCAGCTTTGGGGCATCCTGAGGTCATAGAGCTGGTAACCAAGGGCAAGATGGATGAAGTCGAGGCCTTCCTGCAGCAGGCTCTCGCCTCTCGCGCTCACATCTCTTCCGGCCAAGCATTCGTGCGGTGTCAGTCGGGAGTGGACGTGTGAGCAGCAGGATGCCAACAAGCCAATGGTCACAAAGGCGGGCCGCCGGCTGGATGCGGGAGGTTTCCCATCTAGCCGTGAAGTGCAGGCGTTCTACCACTGGATCATCCATGCTTGCCAAACAAAGCTCAACAAACCCGAGGCCCAGTTACAGTCCATGTTGCTGTCGCACCTGCGCATCGTGTGGTACAGACCATCCCACGAGGCAGCCCGCTGGTTTGCCACTCGCATGGAGAAATCAGGCTACAAAGCAAACGCTGGGCCCCCCAGCATTGCGCATCTCCGCCTGACTGCTCCAGCCGCTAGCCATCCCCATCGTCACATAGGGCCAGTCGTGGCAGCTCGGGAAGCCCAGCTTCAGGTGGTCACCTTCAATTGCATGATTGGGTCGTGCATCAAGAATGGCTCCTGGGCCCCAAAAATGAGCTTTTTTTCCGGTCGTGGCCCCCAAAGCTCCGCTTTTGTAGGCCCGGGCCTTGGCTCACTGAGGTGACTTGGAGCAGGCCAGGGCCTGGCTGGGCTCTTAGGGCTCTTTTAGGGTTTCCTGGAGGGCTCCCAAAGTGCCTGAGAGTCAGGTGGGACGTCATGGCCGTCAGCGGCATCAAGCCCAACCGGATCACCTATAACATCCTCATCAGCTCCTGTGCCAAGGCCAGAGAGAGAGGGAGCGAGAGCAACTCGGGGCACTCAGCTGTCGTGTTCACTTAATAATACATTGGGTGGTGGGCCTCCCAAAGGCCTGAGGGTTGCGCTGCCGACCCCTAAGCCGAGAGCGCGAGGGTGACCGAACGCAAGCTCTGCTGCGATTTGACTGAGAAAGCCCTAGCCGGTCCTTGAACAGTTCAGTGTCGGTATGACAGCCATGGTGGGGACGGGCGAGTGTGTAGGTACTGGTAGGTTATAGAATGATTGATCGCAGTTTCGTCATGGTCCAATCTGTGCTGGCCACAGACCCGCGATGCAGCTGCTGCAGAGAAGTGGATGCTGCGCATGATCGAGCAAGGCCAGTGGAAAGGGAAAGCAACAAGTGCCTCACCGCGGAGACTGTTTTCACCGAGGCATCAAGCCCTGCACTGTATCCTTCACGGCCGTGATCAGTGCCTTCGCCAAAGTCGGAGAATCTTGCCTGCACTTCTTCTGAGTTGCATCAGGCGCCTCCAGACACTCAATGTCATGACCCGTGACATCCCCTTGTCCGCAAACACAGGATCTGAAGTCTGCGGAGAGGTGGTTCTACCGCATTGAGGCACAACGATGCCCTGTTGGTTCAGCGGTGCAGACCCGTAGTTGTCCGCAGGAATCCGGTGAGGCTCGACGGGACCTTTCTGATGCTATTCAGGCCAGGCTGGGAATTGGGGGGCTGCCCCTTTGTCAGGTCGCCGACTCGGTGGTCTTCAACAGCATGATCAACGCGTGTCCGGACTCCTGGACAGTTTCGATGTTGTTTGCTGCTTTAGGACTGTCGGGTGTCGTCGAGCTTTCGGTGTCGGGGTTCGTCTTCTCAGGTGCCAAAGCGGGAGACATCGAAAGCGCCGACCATTGGCTCGAGCGCATGTTGCAGGACACGAGTTGCCGAATTGAGGGAGCCTATAGTAGCATCATAGTATCACACAGCATATTATACACAGATTGTATTGTACTACAATACACCCTCACCCCAAACCCGACTCCCTGCAGCCACTGTAACCTTGACTGACGTCAGGCCGGCGTGAAGCCTGATGACAAGACGTACAACAGCGCCATCCTCAGAATTTGATCCCTCAACCCCTGAAGCCCCAAACCCCAAACCCAGAAAACCCTAAACCCCTAAAGCCCTAAGCCCTCAAACCCCCAACACCTAAGCCCCTAAACTCTCAACCCCTAAATCCCTCAACCACAAGTGTTCCTCAGTCAAGACCATACCCCTACAAAGCCCTGTTCCCTTGTAGGAACCTTTCTGGGCTTTGCTCTAAATTCGGGACTTTTTTTCGGTCCCAAGTATAGTACAGCACGGACCCTACAAAGAACTCTAATTTAGAGAGCTATCCTAAATCCCATCAACAGCCCTCAAAAGCGGCTAAAGCCCTCAACAACCCCCCAAGAAAGGTCTCATGCATGCCTGTGGCCGAAATGGCAATCCGGAGCGTGCCGAGCTTTGGTATGCGCACCTTGGCTTCGGCTTTCAAAGGGAGCTACAAGTTTACATTCGGGTACAGGGTGTGGGGGTGTTGGGGTTAAGGGGTGTAGGATTTCTGGGGTATAGCAGGCTTTAGCGGGTGCAGGAAAGGAGCTGCAAAGGGTTCGGCAAATTTTCGGGGGTTAGGGTTTGGAGTTTTGGGGTTTCCGGACAAAACAAACTTGTACACTGGGGAGGGAGCGTGCCGGAGAGTCCCGCTAAGACCTGCGTGGTGTGTGCGACCAGTGCAGCGCTCACCAGGCAAATGACATCCCAAGGCTTTCGTCCGGTGCCTTGGTGCAAATTGGGGTTTAGGGTTTAGGGTTTAGGTGCAAAGTTGGTTTTGGCTGTTTGGAACTCCGATGTCGCTATGATGCAGGACCGCATCACTTTCAGCACCATCATCAATTCCTGCGCCAAAGCCGGAGAAATTGAGAAGGCGCCTGAGAAGTGTATATAAACACTTGCTGGAAAGAACACATTGACCTTTTGCTCTGCGCAGTACGATGTTTTCCGCTCGCCGCTGTCCCTCCTTTCATCAGGTGTTAACCTGTTCCCCAGTTTCTGAGGCACTTGCCAGGCTCATTAATTTCCTTCAGGTTCCATGCCTGTTGGTTTCGCATCGGGTTCTTGGCTTCGTGCTTTCCCTTATGCTGTCGTGGATTCATCGGCATCGATTCATCGGCATCGTACTTCTGCTGAGCAGATTCGCAGCCCGCGATGGCAGATTAGGAATGTGGAAGTCACCTGCCTTGTATCTCTCCCCTCCCATCATTGTCTAAGCGCCGGAATTCCTTCGTTGAATTGTCTGTCTGAACCTTGTCCCGGCTGTCACGAGACTCGGGAAGCCAGGGAAAGCCATTTGAAGCCAGAAGCTATTCGTGTGGTTGATTGCGCGGCTTGCTGTGCCAAGCCCGTCTTGCGCAGCCTGAAGAATAGCATGTGTACTGAAGCCGTGCGAGCGTGTGAAGGCAGAGGTAAATGATGACAGTTTGGCATTTCGTGTGGTCTTCCTGGTGGATTAGCTCAATGCCAAGAATTGGCTGAAACTGCGAATGGGGTACCGGAAGCTTGTTGGCTTTAGGCCACTCCAAATGTCGCAGATGTGCACATTTGAAGCTCTTGGCTCCAACTGCAGCTGCAGCAAACCAAACCCTTTTGCTCAACTTTTGGTCGCACCATCGGTGAGGTTTTTGTGTTCCCGAATCCGAAACTGCCTCATGGTTCAATGCTCGGCTCGGGAACTGGCGACTCGTCGGCCCCCCCCGAAACCCCCGGAGCCTGCCCTCATCGTGGGATCATGTGGCTTCGTGGGCAGATCTTCTTTGCCCCACGCTTTAAGGCTCAGATAGCGGTGTAGGACCCGCAATGCTTAGTAACTAACTTAGCTTCGTTTTGGCTTTCGTTTTTGCTTTGTTACAGTCGCCTGAGCTACGTAGGAGCTCCACTTTTTTCCCTTTCTTGGGCGGACGTAGGAAGTCTCAAGCTGCAGAAACCGAAGACACGGTTTAGGGTTTAGGGTTTGGGGTTTAGGGTGTAGGAGAACCGCGAACATTCTGTTCTGGGTTTCCAGAATCGTAGCTGCAAAGCATGCGATCTTGTTGCAATGTGAGCGCAAAGTCTGCTTTTGCAGGCCACGTACTGGATCAAGGACTCTCTTGCACAACGACGCCTGCGCCGATGCGATTTACTTCATGCCATAAGTATTTTGTGTTGTACTCTACTACACTACATTAATAATGTAGTGTAGTATAATAAGTACAGTACAATTCATACTGTACTTACTATACTAACCTGTGGTATCTTATCTTATGGTATATCGTACAGTGGCAGGAGATGGAGAACCACGGATTCGCTCCCAACCTCATGTGCTACAACTGCCCCTCGGCCATTAAGCACAGGGGCGAGGAAAGCCAGGGGTTAAGAAGCCAGCAGAAACCCCAAGGAAGCCGAAGGAACCCTGCTGTAAGGCGCCCTAAAATCCCAAAATTCCTGAAACAACCCTAAGCCCTAAACCCTAAACCCTAAACCCTAACCTTAAAGCCCTAA